TTTGCTAACCAATTTGTAGATTCTTATAGATAAAATGTGTCAACTATCTATAAAATTCAATCCAAATACAAAATAATTTAAAATCCGCATAACTTCTTCACATCATTTTTATTTTTTATTTTATTAAATATGAATCCCTTTTTTCATTTGTAACAAAAATTTAAGATTGGCCAGATTTCTCTTTCTAAATGTTTAGAAATAAAAATAATGCATATTTATTTCAAAAATATGAATGTCACAGGAATTCTAACAAATACAAATTGGTCAGATTTTCTTAAATATGAAACCCATAGGAATTCTATTTTTTGGTAACCAATTTATAAATTCTTTTACAAAAAACTATGTCAATTATTTATGAAATCGATCCACATATAAATTAATTTATAATCCGTACATCTTATTAATATTATTTTTATTTAGTTTCTTTTTCTTTTTTTTTTTAACCAAAATTTGAATCCTATTTCTTTTGGTAAAAGAATTTTCGATTGGTCGGATTTCTCTTTCCAATTTTTTAGAAAATGAAACTAATTTCAATCCAGTTCAAAAATATAAATTTCGCAGGAATCTCATTTTACTTTTTTTATACGAATGCTAGACGACTTTTATTTTTTTTTATGACAAAATGTAAGATACTTACCGTGCAAATAGTTGTATATTCTTAACAAATTCTTCCAAAACTAGGTTTTGGTAAAAGTATATACAAATCTTGATACAATTAAATTAGTGGATATACAAATTCAAAAATACTCATACGTATTCACAACATTTTTTACAAATAAACTATTGGATAAAAATCTTAATCCATTTTAAATATGTATAATTTAAATTATTTCTATAATTATTAATAACACATTAAGATTTCATTTAATCCATTGTGAGATTTTGCATTATCTCAAATAATCGAGATTTGTTAACAAATCTCCATTAGAAAACCACGCCCCATTTTTATACACTAGTACGAATCCCATACGACACACGGGTATATATTCATTAATATTTAAAAATAAAAATTGCTCATTACATAATATTTATAAACAAAAAATATGAAATCAATATATAATACAATTTACCTATATTAATCAATCGGCTAGGAAGACAACTTAGGTCGAATTGAGCCGGCCCGAGGTCTTTTTACATACCATAATTCTTATATCCATATTTAATATCTTTTTATAAATATTCGTGGATATTTACATAATTTAATACAAGTAATGATATTGTAGATGCTACATCAATACACATATTTATAACTTGTAATCAATATATCAATATACATGCATTTAGGTTTCGCGGGTGAACATGAAATTATGGGGTTTTAATAAGTTCAAAAAAATTGAGAGTAAAACTCGAATAATATATTGCTAAACACACGCTTTATCCTCCTTTAATTCCCGTGGTCGACTAATTAATTAATGTGGCTGTGATAAATGAAACTCATTTGATTGTTGGCCGATGTGAAACCCCCATCTATCACCAAATTATGCCCTGTTATAAACCCCGAGTCGTCGTCGCTCGCCAGGAACATCACCCCCCGAGCCACATCCTCCACGCTCGCCCCCCGCCCACGCAGAAGACTCCCCCGCTCCCCCACTATCCTCCTCACGTCCTCCGCCTGCAAATGCGGATCCCCAAGCACCCTTCTGTACCCACCCACGAGCATCTCCGAGGGCACCCCGTGCGGCGAGACGCAGTTCACCCGGATCCCGTGGGCCCCTAGCTCGCAGGCCGCGCTCCTCGCCAGGCCCAGGATGGCCCCCTTGGACAGCGTGTAGGCGTGGGCCGCCAGCCCCCCCATGACGGCGGCCGAGCTGGACGAGCATATTATGGTCCCCGGGTTGTTGCCCTCGATCATGGCCCGCGCGGCGTGCTTGATCCCGTGCACGACCCCGTAGAGGTTCACGGCGACTAGGGACGCCAGCTGCTCGGTTTCGAGGCACGTGATGCTGCCATCCGGCCCCGCCACGCCCGCGTTGTTGAACATGATGTCCAGCCGGCCTTTCCAGTCGACCGCCACCCTGACCGCACGCTCCACGTCGCTCTCGATAGAGACGTCGCAGTGGGCGTACCGGCAGCCGATCGAGGCGGCGAGCTCCGACCCGGGCCCATCGAGCACGTCCGCGATCACGACGTGGGCCCCGCTCTCGGCGAGGGCCCGGGCAGTGGCTGCCCCTATCCCTCTCGCGCCTCCGGTCACGACTGCCACTTTTCCGACCAATCTGCAAAATAGAAAAATTAGAAACAGAGTAAAGAAAAAGAAATTACATATGGGTGAACCAGAATGTGTGACCTTTTGGAGGGCGCGTTGCTGGTGCCGCTGTCTGTAACTGTATCCATTCGATTCATTGTGTGGTGGTTCTGTTCAGCAGTTCTCGCAGCAGATTTATATGAGTATATGTTGAGTTTATGTGGTTGGGTTTTTATTTTTTATTTTTTTTTTCGCACACTGTTTTGTTCAAACAACTAATTCCCAACTACAAAAGCTTTCTACTGCTAATTCATTTAATTAGGAGAAGATGATGATAATATTAATAATAACAAATAAATAAATATATGAAAAATCAGAGTAATTATTTCTTTCACTTGATTCAGGCACCTAACTCTGTTCTACCTTCTATTACAATAATTTTAATCTGTGAGAGCCAAAAAGATGTTGCAGTTTTGCCCAATCTTTCATATTCACATAAGCTATAACGGAAAATGCTACAGTCTCGTTACAGAACAATTCCGTGGAGATTTGTAGTCGTTAGATCATCATGATGGATAGTTGATCCAAATAGTTACAAACCCCGACAGATATAATCTCCCATAGAATCTCCCAGCTATAACTTAAAGCTATTAACATTAATTATACCTAGAACACAAACAAATCCAAAAACATTTATTATATCAACTAAAAACAAATTAACAGATAGTACAATCACAATGCCAATACATCCTCAACCAACGACAATCTCAAGAAGAACAAAATCAAATAAAATTACCCATCGGGCCTAACAGAATGTACGAATGAGCACCATAATTTGATTAGGCGGAATACGCCAAGGGCATCTCAGGTTCCCTGGACGACGCGACCCGTTGGGTCGCGGTGGCAGATGAGCCGTTCCTGGTTGTCGTCTGCCGCCTTGATATCTGGTGTCCGACGGCACCTCCTCCTCCTCCTCCGTCGCGGCGGCAGAAGCAGCCCTTGATGCAGGCGT